ACTGGTTTGTGAGCACCCAGCTGAAAAGCAATGACTCATGAGTGCAACAACATCAGAAATGTTGCTGGCAATGGCTTCGTATATGCCTAAGCTACGCATGACAAACAGTGGGTTAGTTCGAGTCGCACCATGCGTGCGTTTTTGGAACTCACTGTTTGCTAGCATTGGCGTCAATTTTACCTGCTTCTTCGACCAATGTCCCAGCGAACCAGAGAACGGTCTGCAGCTTCCGTGAGTCGACGTCCCAGAGGATCGTCGACATCTCGGGAGGCACAGCAGTGAGTTCTACTGGCCAAGGTGACGATGAAGACATTGAAACACACAAGGATCGTATGCAGTCGGGCCAAAGGTTGGGAAAGTGAATAAAGAACGCCACCAGGGCTGATGTTAGCTTCCTCACAACCATTGTCCCTGACCCATCTGTCAGCGACGCATGTAGCCACCGTATCATATTTTGAAGGAGCTCTGATGCATCAACATTGGAGAGACTTGCGCTATGAGAGGGTTAGTGCGGGTTTTCGGGATCTTTGTTGCTCGCAAGCCGTCGTCAAGTACACACACCTCTCAGTGTTGAGTTTGACCATGATGGTCAAGGCCCCGAAGAACTTGATCTTGTCGTCTGTATGTCCAAGAAGATCGCGAGCGATTCGCCAGCCTGCCGATGATTTCTGCAGCCGATGAAGTTGTTCTTGTATATGACCTACGTTATGGAAACTGGACGGCTCATATAGAGCGAGGACAAGCTAGATGTTGTATTAGATGATCGAGCTGGATCGCATGTGTGCAAGGGTAGCTGCCTCGCGTACTCACTGCCTCGACATCCTGAAGAGATGGTGATAGCGATTCTCCCATGGTGATGATCGCAAGCGTCGGTGATTCATCCAATGATCTCCTGGGCACGGAGTAGTAAGGTATGATCACTCTTCCCTTCGGCCATTCGGCAGGTGAAGGATGAGTTGAGAGCAAAAATGCAAGCTCAAGGTCGGGCCTATCGCTCCCTACCGTGATCCAAAATGTAACGTAAGGGTCTGGCTGCAGATTCGAGACGATAGGCGGTGCACAATTGCTGGCTGGCAAAGCAAACGTGATTTCAACGGCGGAGATCAGGCTAGCTTTGCATGTGCCCTCCTCTGCTCACGGCGGGGTTTGGACGTGTGGACGTAGCTCCTGGGGCTTAGTCTATCTTGTCTTGCCTCCTCAGATTTCCGCTTCCGGCCGTGTGTCGGGGCATACAGTGCAAGGTCGAGTGATGAAGTTTGGATAGGTACATTGGGCACCTTACTGTCTGTCTGGGGAGGCAGCTGAAGCAAGCCAGTGGGGTCGAGATTTGTCCCAATGTGGATGCCAGAGGGTCCATTGACTTTGTGGGTATATCTCTGAACCCGTGTATGCATGAAGGCGTGTGTTGCCTGGAATGATCCGAAAGCACAGGCAACCTACCTACCTAGGTAGGTAGGTGCCTTAGGTAACTAGCGGTGCGCAGTCCATACCCCCTCACAAGATCATCTCAGTATCTGCGAACAACCCAATATCACTGAGCCTGGGTTCCCTCTTGGCAGGGGCAGTTGATCCATCTTTATCACATGTTAGGGAAGGCCTTGCAGAGCTATACGTTGCGCCGGGCATCTCGTGGCATACTTATCTTGGCTTCTGGGACTGCTCTCGCCAATTTTCAGTGTTCCTCCTTTCCGATTCCGATATTGACTCACAAAACCCTTAAACGCCATTCTCGATCCCTGACCTCAGTGCCGATCATGGAGAGAGTCGATACGTCTGGTCGTCTCTCGAAACTGAGAGAGCTTATGAAAGCTCATTCAATCGACGTGTATGGTAAGTCTTGACCGGTCCGATCTCTCGTCCGTGGCGCAGGGTATAACGTGAATATCTTAGTTGTTCCCTCAGAAGATAGCCATTCTTCGGAGTACATAGCGGCCTGCGATGCGCGGCGGGAGTTCATCAGCGGCTTTAGCGGCTCTGCCGGCTGTGCAGTGATCACACTCGACAAGGCCGCTCTTGCTACTGACGGCAGATATTTCAACCAAGCCTCGAAGCAGCTGGACCACAACTGGCTATTGCTCAAGCAGGGTCTCCAGGATGTCCCTACATGGCAAGATTGGTCCGCAGAACAGTCCGCCGGCGGGAAAACAGTTGCTGTGGATCCAGAACTCATTACCGCAGCTGCAGCCAAGAAGCTGGCATCAAAGATCCAAAAGTTCGGTGGCAGTGAGCTGGTTGCCTTAGAACGCAACCTTGTTGACATAGTCTGGGGAAAGGATCGCCCTGACCGCCCGAGGAATCCCGTGGTGATCCTAGACACGGCGTTCTCGGGGAAGAACGTCGAGACCAAGCTGAGAGATCTGCGTCAAGAGCTTGCGAAGAAGGACTCACTTGGCATGGTAGTGTCTATGCTGGACGAGATTGCCTGGCTCTTGAATCTGCGCGGCAGCGACATTCCTTACAACCCCGTCTTCTTCTCTTACGCCGTCATCACTCTCGATACTGCCACACTATTTATTGACGACACCAAACTCCACTCCGACAGCCTTGAATACCTGAGAAAGAATGGGATTGTAACCAAGCCCTATTCTTGTATTTTCGATAACGTTAAAGCCTTGAAGTCCTCGAAAGGTGTGCAGGGTAGAGAAAAACGAACTCTTCTCTCGAGCAAGGCATCCTGGGCTTTGAAGCGGGCACTTGGCGGCGATGACCTCGTTGAGGAGGTGCGCAGTTTCATCGGAGATGCGAAGGCCGTAAAAAACGAAGCTGAATTGGCAGGCATGAGGGCTTGCCACATCAGAGACGGCATTGCGCTCATTGAATACTTCGCCTGGCTCGAAGACCAGTTGGTGGCCAAGAGAACCGTGCTGGATGAGGTGGAGGCGGCAGACAAACTCGAGCAGCTCCGGCAGAAGCAAGCGAATTATGTCGGATTGTCATTTGACACAATCTCATCCACAGGCGCCAAGTACGTTCCCCACCCTGCGTTCTGCGCCCCGTTTGAGATCTTTATCGTGATATATACTGACTCTTCCCAAAAGCGCTGCTGTGATCCACTACAAACCTGAGCGTGGCTCGTGCCCAGCCATCGACCCTGAAGCAATCTACCTCTGCGACTCGGGGGCTCAGTATCTCGATGGGACAACCGATGTGACTCGTACTGTTCACTTCGGCTGTCCCACAGCAGCCGAGAAGCTGGCCTATACGCTTGTATTGAAGGGGAACATTGCACTAGATAGCGCAATATTCCCAAAGGGAACGACAGGGTTTGCACTGGACTGCCTGGCGCGGCAGCACTTATGGGTAAGCTTCATCCTCGACATGAAGAGAACTGCGCTGACAAGTACTCTTTTCTCAGCGGGAAGGTCTAGACTACAGGCACGGAACTGGGCACGGTGTTGGGTCATACCTGAATGTGCACGAGGGTCCAATCGGAATCGGTACCAGGGTCCAGTTCGCAGAGGTATCACTCGCTTCTGGAAACGTTGTCTCCATCGAACCAGGTTTCTACGAAGACGGTGCATTCGGCATCCGTATCGAGAACCTCGCTATTGTCAAGGAGGTTCAGACCCAGCACTCCTTCGGTGACAAGCCTTACCTCGGATTCGAACACGTCACGATGGCTCCTTACTGCAAGAACCTTATCGACATCAATATTTTGACCACGACAGAGAAAGAGTGGCTTAATGCCCATAACACGGACATTTTCAACAAGACAAAGGATGCTTTCAAGGACGACGCCTTAACCCTTGCATGGCTGACTAGAGAAACGCAGCCCATCTGAAACTGGCAAGATGTGTGTAGCTTACTAGAGCACTATGGAGCTATTCCATCAGAACCGCGCAAACGCCGCTAGTGTAAATGTAGCAGCGAATGACAACCGAAATACTGCATTGTTGAACGGCTGGTTTAGTATGACCCGGCTCAGCCGCTGCCTCAGCCCGAGCAGCTCGGGAATATCAACCCCCCATCGGTGTACGACCTACAGTGCTTTGTTTTAATCGAGTATATGACATCGGGGATTCTCTTCCTCTCCCACAATAAACTTACGTGCAATGTGAGCATGGCCAGGCCAGATACGAAGACGATGGCCTGGGAAAAGAATCCTACGACCAGACCGGCGCCGAAACCTGCCCAAGTTAGATCACCGTCTGTGCCAATTCCTGCCAAGCTCTGTTTGATGCCACTCCAGCTCATACCTGCCATGCTACCCCGAGAACAATCCCTCACGAAGTCGGCATTCAGTGTTCCCCGAGTCGAATGTGAAGGCGGTGTCCGCTTATTGTTTGAACTGGTCGTAAGTTTGTTCTGCGAATCGAGCCTGAATGCACGTCGGCATTGCAGAGAATAGGTTAAGCCCAAGCCTGTGCCAGCTTGTAGTGGTAGACGCCATCTGAAGGGCGTGACGGGAAAGCGGTGCATGACTAAAGAAGCAGGTCTGTATGACGGTCTGAGAGGCAGATTTAGTTGATGCTACAAAATGGATGTCAGAGCGGAGGTAGTGCCAGCACCTTTTATCAAGTGCTCGTTGACTGTGGAATGAGACCTATGGTGACGTAGTACGGTTGGCCAAGCGCCAGTCACGCTCCGGGTAAGGTACGGTACCCCAAGAAACTTAAATCGCACTTGGTCACCAATCCTTGTTGCAACATGAGCAGTCACTGCTCAGGCATTCTCTGCGAGCTTCACGTGTGTCAGTTGACTTCATCGATGCACTACGAAATCGAGCATCCGCCTTGTAAATGAAATCATGTGGGAATACTTTACCCCAGCCACAGACCTGGCCTTACTCTCCGGAACGCCTAGTAGGAAGGGGGAAACTTAACGACAATGACCGAATTGAACGTTCCCAGGCCCGTCGTTTTCTCGCCTTCACTCAACGTCGCCTCCAACGGAACCAACATAGGGTATATGTAAATGAGAACATAGCGTTCCCTTCTCAACAGATTCCTCCCCTAAGCCCACAACCCAGGATCCATCATATCACCTCATCTCAATTCAACTCACGCCCCTCGTATCCTTCGTGCCAACTGTATGTCCTTTTGCATGATGGTTACTCGTTTGGCATGTATCGCACAGAGATTGGTGTCTTCAAAGAGATGCACCATGAAAGCCTCCGCAGCCTCCTGGAGTGCCAAAATTGCTTGCGACTGCCAGCGCATCTCCTCGTCACGCGGTCGACACGACATCGCGATTTCTCTGACCTGTCAACGCGATCAGCACAATTCTATCCTGCCCCCCCGGAACAGAATGCACCCACCAGTCGGGCAAATGGAAGCTTTCGCAATAACAAATCGGTGCTGCTTTGGTACTTCCGGATTTCGCGGAGCGCTACTGTACCAGGGCGATATCTTCGTTTCGCACGATGCGGAACAGGGTCACCAGCTGGATCCAGGTCAGGTTAGCTTGGAGGTGAACATCTCATAAAGATCGGTCCAACTTACGTTGCACATCGCTAAGTCGAGACTTTCGCCTACCGGCGTCCGACTTTCTGCTGGTACCTGAGCGTGGTGGCATGGTTCAGGACAAGTGCTGATGTATCGGCGTGAAGGCGCGTGAGTTTTCGGAGAGGTCGAAGCGTGAAGAGCATGAGATAGTGATGTCGTACGCAGTTGATTGCTACAGAGTTCGTCCCGTCCAGGCGAAATGCTTGGTTTTTTGGAGGTGGTGAGGATTGTGTCGTTGCGATGCCGAGGCGCGAAAAGACGCGACGCGACAGGTCCGTTCCAGCCAGAGGCAAGCCTGTTGGGAGCGCGTATCTGAGACGGGTCCGTCTGGCACGCCGTTCGTGGTAAGGTAATAAGAATTGCAGCTTCGAATGGTACTCGTCGCTTCAAGCGGTGACCGCAATAACAGTCTCAATGGGGGTAGAGAATCTGGGGATGGTATCAACCCGTCTAAAGGGTTCCTGAAGCCCTCGAAGTACAATTAGCGCGCTGGGCCATATGGGTTGGCTGGGTACCAGCCACACGGATTTTCGATGAGGAACATGAAGGAGAATACTACCATGTAACTCGGCGCGCGCGCGCGCGTGTTGTCGCGCACGGACATATAATCTGAACGCGTCCCCTAATTAAGGGCCCCAGGGCAGCAATGTCGCCATAATTGCATGCATGCTCTGAACCATCGGTTCAAGTGATATGCAAGTACATGTAGATTAAGTATCCTTACCCATCTGCCGGGGCGCGACCTGATGGCGCTAAATTGTGGCGGGGCCCAATGTGTTATCTTTCACCTTCCGTCATAATCCTGGCTCGATCAAGAACACCAAGCGGCATTGCAGGTGCGCCCTCCCGGATGCTGAAGCGGCCACCTCACCATTACTCCGATCTATGCCCAGTCTCATTGCACCACAACCGACGAAGACCTTGGTTTTTGGAGCGCATTCCAACAATTTTAACCTTCTGCAACCCATACGATTGTTACTATATTCCGTCACGTCTCAGCGGGAAGCTATCGTGCAATCATCGCAAGCCAGCCCGGGCAATGACCGCTGATTCTCGCAGGGCTGCAGCAGTGCCGAAACAAATTGAAAGAGATGGACCAAATGATGGGAGATGGTGGAAGACTTCCGCTTGAAACATGGTTCTGGGAGATGCCGATATGCACTAGGTGGTGGACTACTGCCACACTATTGACCAGTGCTCTCGTGCAGTGTCAGATGGCAACACCTTTCCAACTATTTTACAGTTTTCGCGCAGTATTCGTCAAATCGCAGGTGGGGTCATTTTCCCGAGCAATTGTTGGTGGTCATCAAGCTAATACTTCTGTTCATTAGTACTGGCGGCTATTGACGACCTTCCTATACTTCGGGCCGTTTTCCTTGGATCTTCTATTTCACGTCTACTTCCTCCAGCGCTATGCCCGGCTCTTAGAAGAGTCATCAGGTCGCTCTCCCGCGCATTTCTCCTGGCTACTCATGTACGCCATGACAAGTCTTATTCTTCTCTCGCCTCTGGTGTCAATGCCATTCCTGGGACATCCGCTGTCCTCGACACTCGTTTACATCTGGTCTCGACGTAATCCCGACACAAGGTTGAGCTTTCTAGGGCTCCTCGTATTCACCGCGCCATATCTCCCGTGGGTACTGATGGCTTTCAGCTTAGTTCTCCATGGGTCTGTTCCGAAGGACGAGATTATGGGCGTGGTCATTGGGCACATATGGTACTTCTTCACTGATGTCTACCCACCCCTGCATAATGGCTCACGCCCTTTTGACCCACCTGGCTGGTGGCGACGAATCTTTGAGAGGAGACCAGCCAACGAAGCTGTGGACGGCCCAAACAACGACATACTGGCCATGGGTGCCCCTGAACTTGCTGCAGAGGTTCTATGAGCGTCTCGTCGGCGCCAATACGACGGGCTAGGCGAATAAATAAAGTGGCGTGAGCGGCGGAAGAACAATAGGATCGCGGTGTTAACAGTCCTTTCGATCATGGTGTCCTGAATCAAATGACAGTTTCACCTCCCCAACGAGTGGTTGAACAGAGGTCTGACAGGCCGTAAGATAGCTCCAGTGGAGAGAGATACTCGTGCGAGGTGATGCAGAATGCATGCTTTCGCCTTGCTCCATGCTACGGCAGCGGAGCTTATGACCGAGAGACCGATTACAGCCCGGTTGACTTGGCAGACAACGATAACATGAACGTCAGCAAGGCAACCTAGCGAATTTTTCCTAGGTAGTTCAACTAGCTCTTGCACAAATCATTCATGCTGAAATCTGCACTGTAGTGGTATTGTGATATGGGTAACTCTCTGGCAATCCTTATAATATCCTGACAAAAGCAAGTTAGAAAGTCCGTGTTGCAGAGCGATGGCGATAATGTTGCGTGAAAGTCGATATCCTACGTAGGCGGCTGCTGTGTCGTATAGAACCTCAATTGCCTGCAACTGCCATTGAAGAGCACACGTGGAGCAATCCGAACTGTGGATGCTAGTACCTGAGGAGGGGCAAGGCACCACAACCAGCTTGGGCTCTGATGGCGTCATTTCAAAGTTACCTTAGGTATAGGTATCTTAGATAAGGCGCCGACCCCACCACAAAAGTTGCGCTCACACAACTGACGTCCACCATCAATCGTGACGAATGATCAGCCTTCATGCCCTTCCCTCAGCATCCCCATCAACCACATTAATTACCGTAATCTTGGGCCGACGCTAACCCGCAACGATGAAAGCCTACTGGTTTGACAACCTGCCTGTAAGCCGACTTTCAAGCAACGTCTTTCGTGAGATTGGTCGACTGATAACAACTTCGCGAGCAGGGTGACCAACGGCTTCCCCATGATTCTGGAAACGCTGTCGACGAGGAGGGGCTAAAGCAACTCGGCGTCTACTATCACAATATAACAGACATTGAAGGGGTGAACCAGCTGGCCGCAAAGAGAGGCTACAAGAACCGCGACGAGATCATTGTTTCTCCAGAGAAGATGGGTGATGTGTATGAGGACAAAGTCAAGAGTTTTTTCAACGAACATCTTCACGAGGACGAGGAGATCAGGTATGTCCGCGATGGGCGAGGATACTTTGATGTCCGCAGTCGTGACGATGAATGGGTGCGGATCCGCGTGGAGAAGGTACCAGATCACCTACTTGAGAAGTTGCATGTTTGGGTCAGACTAATTCTTCGTTAGGATGACTTGATTATCCTACCGCCTGGTATATACCATCGGTTCACAACAGATGAAACGAATGTAAGTTCACACGCGTGCCCGCAGTCCAGCCCAGCCTCACAGACCACACCTTAGCCCCTCTCCCTCTCACCTCCATGCCTAGTCGCTCCATGCTCAACATGTCCACAGTACATAAAAGCAATGAGGCTTTTCAAAGACGAACCCAAGTGGACTCCACTGAACCGGTCATCTGACCTGGACGCAAACCCTCATCGTCAGCAGTATAGTAGGGAATACCTGGCAAGCCCGACGGCTTGATGACAAAACGGTAGTCCGGGGCGAACAGTATACCGACGTACCCACCTCGTAGGTGATCGCAAAGCAGAGCCAGCCTTGTCTCTTTACTCCGAAGAGGGTTTACACAGCATGCAGAGAGACGAGGTTCAATAATACACAATTCCATCACAAGCTCAACCTTGCCGCTGGCAAGGCCACCGAAGCCAACTCGCGAGGCTCCGCGCTCCAAGAGGACCCATGCCTTGTAACCATAGCGTTACCTGCTTAAGCTGCGTCCAACATGTGCCACTTCGTTCACAAGTAGTGCTGTAGCTGGACCACATGACGTCCTGTCCAGCGTTGCGCTTTCATTTTGTACCAGATAGAGTTCATGACTGATGAGTGAGGATGCAAGGTCATAAATTGGTTGTCTGGGAGGGCGCGCATAATCGTGAGTATCGGCTGCCTCTGGAGATAGATGGGGTATTCACAGTCAATCGAGTTCACACAATCGGTCCTTGGATGACTGAAAACGGCCGTGCTCTGTTTAGGCTCGGTCTTGGATTCTTCTGGTGACAAGGCTTTACGCGCCGCTGCCTTGGTGGTCTCGTAATTTTGACCCCTACCGCCGTACGCCATCATTTCGTGCGAGAAAGCCCCATTTTCATCTTCGCAGTCCAGGGAGCTTCAAGCCTTGTCAGCCTCCCTCTTCTCCTTCTGTTAAAGCGCAAGATGTTAGCGTTGATCTATTTTTTGTTGGCCGGAGGGGATGTTATGTCCCGGTGGAAGCCTCGTACCAGGGCCCTGGCGGTGCCGTGAAGAGCATGACGGTGGTTGCGACGGAACTTAGGGTCAGTGCCCTTGAGCGAAGGGTACCTGGCCGTCTTGGGCTTCTTGATCCTGTAGGTAGGAATGGTGTCAGTACCTCTGTTTGCGCAATGCAACCTGTCGAAATAGTTCTCAACGTACCCGTTACGGTGCGCCTTGCGCGACTGGTTATGCTGCGAGGAGTTCTTGGACTCTGTCGTTTTTGTTAGAATGATGTACAGACAAGATGCGATTCGTTTACACTTGACATACTGGCCATTGCTGCGACTGTACTCCTGCTTAGATGGTGTCGGGTTGAGGGATAAGGGCGTCGTCAATTGCGAGGGTCGATTACAGATCGAATAGCCTTCTGCTGGTGGTTGTGGGGAGAGATTTCCATGCCCTAAGATCTTTCGCTTACCTAATACACACTCGCCTACATCTGAGAACCAAGCCGCAACTCGGATTGATAGAGTAGCAGCTGACATAAGGCACTATCTGTGTACATAGTACGTACTTAACCAGCGCAACCATGGGTGCCCGTGTTACCTTTATTTCAGGCTCACTTATTAGTAAGAATCCCCGTTGTGGCTTTTCGTCATTCAAGTAGGGTCATTGCGGTTCTGGTTTCAATACTCCTATCTAACTAACCAAGACCAAAAAGACCACCAAGACAAGGAATATGGCGCATGCACGTGAAGTGAACCACACAGACAAGTCCCCGGGAAATACTTAATTGAAAGTTTAGGTCTTACAGAGCTACGTATATGTTCACAACCGATATCCTCGCAATGCGCAATTCTTCGCGAATGCTGGCATTCGCTCATCGGGAAACAAGAGGCTTGACTTGCGACACCTGTTGCAGTAGCCCTCCGCTTTGCGAGTTCTTTTCGAGTTGCTTTGCACGCATTGTCTTGAGATAACGCAGAAACAAGACAAACATCAACTCCATGCTATAATTTAGATCGTTAGTCAGATGTATATATACTAATACGGTTCGTCAGTGGCGCTTACCGTTCCTTGGTCATCATGAGAATCCCCTGCACAAGCAGTCCCTTTAGTATCTGAGGCGCGATGCCCTTGAACAGACCAAGTGGCCCTTCTCGCTCCAGGATGAATTGCATCACCTCAATGAAGCTGCTGAATGGCTTTCCCTGTCTTTCCGGGGGTGGGCGAGATTGTAACCCGACCTTGGCAACAATCAGAGGTTGCGTAGCCAGTGTTGCAAGCGACTTGGACATGGCTCCGAGCACTTGCAGGCGTTAGTTAGATACAGTCCACGTCGCTTCACGCTTGCCACTTACAGAAAGCTTCCCACGGCTTAAGACTGCTTTTCCCAGGGAATATAACCTCTTTCAGCCTCTCATAAGCCCCATAGGTGATGGCAGGGTTCACTACCAACACCAAGCTAGCCTTGAGGCCCCTCCACAGGCCGAAGACGCCATCACTGCCCTCAACAACTTCCCGTCCCGTCTCCCAGAAACCCTTTCGTTCGCCCTTGCGTTGGGTTTGCTGCCTTGTAGTGACCACTGCAACTGGTATTGTGCATAGCTGGGCCACAGCACCAGCGACCGCACCCAGTGCAAGTTCGGTGATGGTAGAAGGAGGAGCCGTTGTTTTGGCTGATTTGATATAGAATGTTCGGACAATGGAATACCAGTAGAAGTAGGCAAAGTTTGTGGAGGCCACACCAAGAAGTGACCCGCTCATGCCTGCGTACAGGCCTTGAATGCCATCTTCCGCAGCAATCTTTGAAAGGGCATCCCACGTTGAACTATAGTGCGGCTCGACGGCTCCGGCGGCGACAACGGGCACATTGCCTGTTTCCTTGATTGGCCGTGCTTTGACCTGTACCTGTAGTCTTGTTTTGACTCTTTAGAGGCACCAACCAGTCAACTTCACAATTCATGCAGAGCTGCGAGAAAGAGAGGACGAGCCGCCCCAAGTAATGGGCGTGGTGCAAGAACTCACATATCGAGAGGGTAGACAAGAGCATTCGCCAGAACGGCACCTGAAGCGCCTGCGACGGCGCGGCCCCATGGGGCGAGATTGACGGGCTTCGACTGTGCGGCCATGTCGTTCTGCTATGTGGTGGGTAATGTACCGAGAAGCTGGTCGCAAGATGTTTCAATTGGTATCCCCGCGAATTGAGGTAGCTCGCGCTGGCTGGCCGACCTCGGTTCGTTGCACGCCTGCGATCAGTCTGACGCAACGGGGGATAGATAACGAAGTGTGTCGGGCGATGTAGATGGCTTGCGATGAAACATCAAAGAATGTCTACCTAGGGTGTCTGCGACCTAGACACCCGGTACCCAAGAGGCGCGCAAACCAGCTTTAACTCCAGGAAGGGTGACGTCGGGTGTTGGGTGTCGACCTCGGCCTCAAGAGCCGTCTCGTGCTCGGTTATTAGATCTCAGGTCCCATAGCGCCCGCACGTCACTTGGTACTCGCTGTGCAGTAGATAAGGGGGGCGAAATGCCGGTTGCACATCCGCCAGAGAGAAGGCACCATAGTAGTTCGGGGCGGGGGACCTCGGCTACGACAACGCACCATGCGACCCGCTTTATTTGTTGTCTCAAACGAGACATTTCGACCAACTGAAAGTATGTCTCTAATGTGCTTGATCGGTGTAAAAGTATCACCCTTCCGCAACTCGTCACGTCAAGCTCACCCCACTGTGCACGGGGCTGCATCAAGAGTCGTATAGAGGGGTCTGCGCCTATTCAGATTCACCAGGCTATCAGGCCCGCCCTCAGTACCTATTGAACCTCCTGCGCATCTTCGATCGGAGCTCTTGCGGACCCCCTTATCTCTTCTAAATACATATCTTGTTAGACAAGAGGCTCCTGACGCCTCAGCTAGTGGCATTCAGCCTTGAGCCTGATACTGAAACACAATTGGCGCTTGCCGGCGTGTGTGTTGGTCGGTATTGAGTCGGTTTCTTGTTTCGCCAGCTCATGTATACAGGTTATCAGGTCATGAACAATGCCGAGCATCTCGCAACAGTAAGACTGACTTTTGACCGTTCATTTGGGACATCGTTCTTACAGGTGACTGGCATTCAAAGGCTGACTTGGCTGCAGAGTGAGGAGCAACTGTCACGGCAGGCCAACCGCGACAGTAAGCAGGCTCTGCAACACGCGATTGCTGCCGCAGACTTCTACATGAAGGCCTATACCGAGGCAACCAATGCGACTGACCGTCTTCGCCTGCGGCGAAAATGTCGAGAGATGATCACGTGGGCTGAGCAGCTCAAGTCCAAAGAGTCCGGCGGCACTTTATCTCCGCCTACGTACCGCAAGATCACGGGCGAAGAGGAGACCATTCTTCGGAAATCATCCTACTTACATGCCTGTTTGTTTCCGCCTTGGAAGTCCGACCCAAGTGATGATGTATTTGAACTTACCGCAGGGGATCCGCCATACACGTCAGTACTCCAGAATATTGTTTAAACGTTTGAGGTCCTGATCAGCAACATGACATGTAGGGATCATACCGAGTATGCTATGTCCCATCAGCAAAACAATATTCTGGGAGGCTGGGAGCGACCTGCCACTCTTGTCGGCTCTCTATTACACACCGATGAGCCATTCGACGGTACCGCTGCACTGATGGCCGCAAGTGGCGACAGTGACCTAGTCCAGGATATAACGACGGACTGTTCTGTAGTAGCTAGCCTTTGTGCAGCTATGGATGTTCTTGTCGCAAAGTCGCGAGGCAAGCCGGTGCGTCTACCTGAATATCTATCACTTGCGTTGTCCCTGACATTTCGTGGAAAAAGCTTCTCTCACGCCTTATGTTTCCGTACGACCACACCAACGATCGTCCAAAGCTATCGCAGTCTGGGAAATACATATTCCGCATGCATTTCAATGGTTGCTTTCGTGAGGTAGTTATCGATGATCGACTGCCCGTATCACGAGCTGGCATTGACCGTAACTTATTCGTTGTTGACCGTCGTAATCCTGATTTGCTCTGGCCAGCACTTATGGAGAAAGCATATTTAAAAGTGCGGGGAGGTTATGACTTTCCCGGCAGCAACTCAGGTACAGATCTTTGGGTACTGACGGGTTGGATACCTGAGCAACTATTCCTCCAGAGGTAGGCGTTGCATGGGACAAGCAGATGGAGCTTTGACTCGAGCTAACAATTAGATCTAGCGAGGACGTGGATCTCAACCAAACCTGGAGTCGTATGCTGCAGTGTCATAAAGAAAGAGACCTCATCATCACGTTGGGTACGGGACGCCTTACACACACCGAAGAGGACGCTCTGGGACTCGTTGGAGAGCATGATTACGCTGTGTTGAGGCTCGAGGAAGTGAACGGCGCTCGACGCCTCTTGGTCAAGAATCCGTGGTGCGACGGTCTCGTCTGGAAAGGAGCCGAACTCAGAGAACACTCGCGTTCCACTGCGAATCCTCCATCGATCGGGAGTGCCGGGGGCGCACATCTTGAAATGACAAGCACTGCGCCGTCACGCGGTACGTTTTGGATATCTCTTGAGGAAGTTGCCCAGAATTTCGAGTCCATGTATCTCAACTGGAACCCGAGCTGCTTCGGCCGTCGTCAGGACCATCACTTCACGTGGCACGTTCCCGCCAAGAGCTGGAGTGGCACATTCGCGCACAACCCACAGTACTCCATATGTTCAAGCACTAGCGACACGGTCTGGATTCTTCTTAGTAGGCATTTTGCAGACGCCGAACTAAGCATTGCGCGGAATCAAAGGTCAGGGTCGCTAGCCTCCGTTGCTAGACGTCTCGGCTACACCAGCATTTCGATATTCGACAATGGAGGTAAACGAGTGCAAGAGATCGGAGGAGCATTATACCGTGGCCCCTATGTCGACTCCCCCCAGACTCTGGCCAAGTTTGCCCTTGATGCAGGGAAAACGTACACTGTTGTCATGGCGCACGAAGAGCTGCCCCTGAATGAGTATTCTTGCACATTCTCTTTCTTCTCGGCCACAGATCTTAAGATAGGACCAGCCGAAGAGGCTATGCGTCATTACCGAGAGCTTTCCAGCTCATGGACGCGGAGGTCGGCGGGCGGCAACGCTTCTTCTCCTACTTACTCGGCAAACCCGCAGTTTAGCATCACCATCTCACGGTCAACGCCACTTTCGATCCTGCTAACGACTGGTAGTCGTGACATCGCCGTCCACACGGACCTCGTGTGGTCATCGGGCAAGCGCGTATCTTCAATTGGGAGAAAGGATGTTGTTGCAAGCTCTGGAGACTATCGTTGCGGCAGCGCGCATTCGCACGTTGCAAACCTCGAAGCCGGTACCTACGTCATTGTCTGCTCAACTTTCGAGCCAGGGCAACTGTCCGATTTTGCGATACGAATCGGGACCATGATCGAATGTGCCGTACGTCCTGTACCAGGGGACGGCGCAGGACTGCTATGCACTCGGCTGCCGGCACTCGAATTTGCTGCAGGCGAAGAGCGCAAGCGAGCCAGTATCACGGCGCCTCGCCTTACGAGAGCATACGCGTCAGCCCGCTGCCCCGTGCTGTCGGACGAGAACGGGCAACACATCTCTCATGCTGCCATTCGCATAGTAGTCATGTATGGCCGTGGGCCGAATGCGTCTATACATGCCATTTCGTGCGAAGGGGAGTTTCGAGATCCGACTACCGCCGTGAGGACGCCCGAGTTCGATCTCGAGCCTGATCGGATCCGACTCGAGAGTTTGTGGATTGTGATAGAGCAGCTAGGAAGTCATCGTGCATGGAGTGGCATCGAGGTTGAGATCCTTGGCGACAACCTCATTCGCTACAGCCCGTGGGAGGATCTGGACTGACCAAGTAAATATTTGCATTCGCCAAGTGCTCGTCTCACTGGTGCTTTCGCTTTCGAGGTTCTGTAGCAATTCGGGCCCCATGATTGTGGACAAAGTCTTTTTTGCCTTTGTGTTAAACGTGCGCGATGAGCCTTCGAGACCATTGAGGTCATGCAGCGTACGCTTGGTAACCAAGTCGTGACAAGCAGGAGCGGACAGAGAAACAAGACGTCAAGATGCCCGTCATTCTGATGACATAAATCA